TTAACATAGCTGGGATATTAACATAGCAGAGATATTAACATAGCTGAGATATTAACATAGCTGAGATATTAACATAGCAGAGATATTAACATAGCTGAGATATTAACATAGCTGAGATATTAACATAGCAGAGATATTAACATAGCTGAGATATTAACATAGCTGAGATATTAACATAGCTGAGATATTAACATAGCAGAGATATTAACATAGCTGAGATATTAACATAACTGAGATATTAACATAGCAGAGATATTAACGTAGCTGAGATATTAACATAGCTGAGACATTAACATAGCAGAGATATTAACATAGCTGAGATATTAACATAGCTGAGATATTAACATAGCAGAGATATTAACATAGCAGAGATATTAACATAGCAGAGATATTAACATAGCTGAGATATTAACATAGCAGAGATATTAACATAGCTGAGATATTAACATAGCTGAGACATTAACATAGCAGAGATATTAACATAGCTGAGATATTAACATAGCTGAGATATTAACATAGCAGAGATATTAACATAGCTGAGATATTAACATAGCTGAGATATTAACATAGCAGAGATATTAACATAGCTGAGATATTAACATAGCTGAGATATTAACATAGCAGAGATATTAACATAGTTGAGATATTAACATAGCTGAGATATTAACATAGATGAGATATTAACATAGCTGAGATATTAACATAGCAAAGATATTAGCATAGCTGAGATATTAACATAGCTGAGACATTAACATAGCAGAGATATTAACATAGCTGAGATATTAACATAGCTGAGATATTAACATAGCAGAGATATTAACATAGTTGAGATATTAACATAGCAGAGATATTAACATAGCTGAGATATTAACATAGCAGATATATTAACATAGCTGAGATATTAACATAATTGAGATATTAACATAACTGAGATATTAACATAGCTGAGATATTAACATAGCTGAGATATTAACGTAGCATAGATATTAACATAGCTAAGATATTAACATAGCTGAGATATTAACATAGCTGAGATATTAACATAGCTGAGATATTAACTTAGCTGAGCTATTAACATAGCTGAGATATTAACATAGCTGAGATATTAACATAGCTGAGATATTAACATAGCTGAGATATTAACATAGCTCAGACATTAACATAGCTGAGATATTAACATAGCAGAGATATTAACATAGCTGAGACATTAACATAGCTGAGATATTAACACAGCTCAGACATTAACATAAATCAGATATTAACATATCTCAGACATTAACATAGTTTAGACATTATTTTAATTCAGATATTAACAGAGCTCAGACATTAACATAGCTCGGACATTAACATAATTCAGATATTAACAGAGCTCAGACATTAACATAGCTTAGACATTATTTTAATTCAGATATTAACAGAGGTCAGACATTAACATAGCTTAGACATTAACTTAGCTTAGACATTAACATAGCTCAGACATTAACATAGCTCAGACATTAACATAGCTTAGACATTAACATAGCTTAGACATTAACATAGCTTAGACATTAACATAGCTCAGACATTAACATAGCTTAGACATTAACATAGCTTAGACATTAACATAGCTCAGACATTATCATAGCTCAGACATTAACATAGCTCAAACATTAACATAATTCAGATATTAACATAGCTCAGACACTAACATAGCTCAGACATTAACATAATTCAAATATTAACAGAACTCAGACATTAACATAGCTTAGACATTAACATAGCTCAGACATTAACATAGCTCAGACATTAACATAGCTCAGAAATTAACATAACTCAGACATTAACATAGCTCAGACATTAACATAGCTTAGACATTACCATAGCTCAGACATTAACATAGCTTAGACATTAACATAGCTCAGACATTAACATAGCTTAGACATTAACATACCTCAGACATTAATATAGCTTAGACATTAACATAGCTCAGACATTAACATAGCTCAGACATTAACATAACTCAGATATTAATATAGCTCACTCGTTAACATAGCTCAGACATTAACATAGTTCAGACATTAACATAGCTCAGACATTAACATAGCTCAGACATTAACATAATTCAAATATTAACAGAACTCAGACATTAACATAGCTTAAACATTAACATAGCTCAGACATTAACATAGCTCAGACATTAACATAGCTCAGACATTAACATAGCTTAGACATTAACATAGCTCAGACATTAACATAGCTTAGACATTAACATAGCTCAGACCTTAACATAGCTCAGACATTAACATAACTCAGATATTAACATAGCTCGGACATTGACATAACTCAGACATTAATATAGCTCAGACATTAAGATAACTCAGACATTAACATAGCTCTGACATTAACATAGCTCAGACATTAACATAGCTTAGACATTAACATAGCTCAGACATTAAGATAACTCAGATATTAACATAGCTTAGACATTAACATAGCTCAGACATTAACATAGCTCAGACATTAAGATAACTCAGATATTAACATAGCTCACTTATTAACATAGCTCAGACATTAACATAGCTCAGACATTAAGATAAATCAGATATTAACATAGCTCACTCATTACCATAGCTCAGATATTAACATAGCTCGGACATTGACATAACTCAGACATTAATATAGCTCAGACATTAAGATAACTCAGACATTAACATAGCTCTGACATTAACATAGCTCAGACATTAACATAGCTTAGACATTAACATAGCTCAGACATTAAGATAACTCAGATATTAACATAGCTTAGACATTAACATAGCTCAGACATTAACATAGCTCAGACATTAAGATAACTCAGATATTAACATAGCTCACTTATTAACATAGCTCAGACATTAACATAGCTCAGACATTAAGATAACTCAGATATTAACATAGCTCACTCATTAACATAGCTCAGACATTAACATAGCTTAGACATTAACATAGCTCAGACATTAACATAGCTCAGACATTAACATAGCTCAGACATTAACATAGCTTAGACATTAACATAGCTCAGACATTAACATAGCTCAGACATTAACATAGTTCAGACATTAACATAGCTCAGACATTAAGATAACTCAGATATTAACATAGCTCACTCGTTAACATAGCTCAGACATTAACATAGCTTAGACATTAACATAGATCAGATATTAACATAGCTCAGACATTAACATAGCTCAGACATTAACATAGCTCAGACATTAACATAGCTTAGACATTAACATAGCTCAGACATTAACATAGCTCAGACATTAAGATAACTCAGACATTAACATAGCTCAGACATTAACATAGCTCAGACATTGACATAGCTCAGACATTAACATAGCTCAGACATTAAGATAACTCAGACATTAACATAGCTCAGACATTAACATAGCTTAGACATTAACATAGCTCAGACATTAAGATAACTCAGATATTAACATAGCTTAGACATTAACATAGTTCAGACATTAACATAGCTCAGACATTAAGATAACTCAGATATTAACATAGCTCACTCGTTAACATAGCTCAGACATTAACATAGCTTAGACATTAACATAGCTTAGACATTAACATAGCTCAGACATTAACATAGCTCAGACATTAACATAGCTCAGACATTAACATAGCTTAGACATTAACATAGCTCAGACATTAACATAGCTCAGACATTAACATAGCTCAGACTTTAACATAACTCAGATATTAATATAGCTCAGACATTGACATAGCTCAGACATTAACATAGCTCAGACATTAATATAACTCAGACATTAACATAGCTCAGACATTAACATAGCTCAGACATTAACATAGCTTAGACATTAACATAGCTCAGACATTAAGATAACTCAGATATTAACATAGCTTAGACATTAACATAGCTCAGACATTAACATAGCTCAGACATTAAGATAACTCAGATATTAACATAGCTCACTCATTAACATAGCTCAGGCATTAACATAGCTCAGACATTAACATAGCTCAGACATTAAGATAACTCAGATATTAACATAGCTCACTCATTAACATAGCTCAGACATTAACATAGCTTAAACATTAACATAGATGAGACATTAACATAGCTCAGGCATTAACATAGCTCAGACATTAACATAGCTCAGACATTAACATAGCTTAGACATTAACATAGATCAGTCATTAACATAGCTCAGACATTAACATAGCTCAGACATTAACATAGCTCAGACATTAACATAGCTCAGACATTAACATAGCTTAGACATTAACATAGATCAGGCATTAACATAGCTCAGACATTAACATAGCTCAGACATTAACATAGCTCAGACATTAACATAGCTCAGACATTAACATAGCTCAGACATTAACATAGCTCAGACTTCAACGTTGCTAAGACATGCTCATGACATGTCAATAATGAAACGCTAAGAACCGACGTGCGTAGTAAATTAAATTGATTAAAAACTTGTTAATCTCCGTTCATAAGTGGCTACGTAGACATCAATCGTACTTTGAGTTGAGTGATGTTACTCAGAGCATACGTCAATATGTGGCATTTTGTATAGTGAGTGTGAGAATTTGTTTAGTAAACACTTTATAAGGCCACCCCATGTTTAGACCTAATAAAGACTTCCTGGTCTCCGCCCAGTCTTGTACTATGGCCGTTTGGTCACCGGTCACAACCTTGCCTCGGCAAACTTACAAGAAAATACTATATCATCTGTCATAATTACAGAGTGCTGGCGCTCTGGTAACCGCCATGAGTCCAATAAAATCAGAGCTGAAGAGCCAGGAAAGTGATTGTCCTTGTAGAACGCACTATTCCCGCGACATCGGCATGACAATATTGCTTTTAAGGAAAATTCTGTTGCGGTAAATCACTTTCCCAATGATACAAGTGCAACATTTTTACGTGACCTACGTGTGTAACCTTTCCCAACCGCACTGGTCAGGCGCAGACAAACTAGCCTATGGCAGCGGAGGGAACGCCTGGCGGGAACCAATCCGCGGAGGTCTTCAGGTTGGTGGGCGGAGTCCCTGCGTCTTGGACTGGTTTTAGCTCTTGCTTAGTCGGTGGCTTTCGTAAGCTTGGCATGTAATAAAAGATCGTTGGGCCATTAGACCTATTCGACACGCGACGCTAAAGTGCTTTCCATTGTCGCCAGGAAGCCACTTTCCCGGCAGGGCTCCCGCCACCCATAATCTGCGACAAGAAGACGGAGAGCCACCACCACTACCACCACCACAACCACCGTCCAGGACAGTCGTAGCCCGGCTTCCTCCGTCACCACAGCCACCATCCTGGAGTTCGCGCGTTACGGCATATTCAAGTACTGCTGGCACTGTGACACTGACCTGACTGGGCGGAGAGCAGTCGTGCTAGGGCCACACACCGGACAACATCTCCACGCCTCTCACCATCCTTTAACGCCAGAAGACATGAAAGCAGCAGAAGCCAGCCGCGAAAGGTTCGCCTTCAACAAGTCCTACAGCATTGAGGTTAGAGAGCATGGTCACACATTTAACTTAATGGTTCTCAGTCATTGATTAGCATACAGCCAAGATTTTTTAGAGGAAAGAAATTATTGATATTTGTTATATTAAGACAACAGCCCAAAATGAACAGAGGTATAGTAAGATATGGGCAAGATATTGTTAATTAGAATTTTTTTATTAACACATCGGCCTTCTCCCACCAAGGTAGGGTGGCCCAAAAAAGAAAAAATTGCATCATCACTCACTCCATCACTGTTTTGAGATTAGAGAAATGTTATTCAAAAGAACACATCCACTAGCGTGGATAAGTATCGTGAAGGTACCAGTATCAACCAAAAACAACATTTGTAGTTAATAAAACATAGGAATTAAGAAGATGGGTAGAGAGAGAGAAGTAACTGACAGCAGTTGGGGAATTCGTGACAATACTTTTTATGTCAAAAAAATACCGTGGATGTAAGGAAATCATAGACTCAAAGACAGGCGATACATGGAAAATCTTGATTACACTAAATCAGTTAGGGAAATGATTAAGAAAGTCTGGCTGCTGGTGCGTCTGGCTAGAAATGTCAACAAGATCAGAACTAACAACCAGATTTTAACTAACACCCAGACCTTCACTAACATCCAGACCTTAACTAGCAACCAGACCTTAACTAATCACCAAGGCTTGACTAACAACAAGATTTTAACAACCAAACCTTAATTAACACCCAAACCTTAACTAACAACCAGACCTTAACTAACACCCAAACCTTAACTAACAACCAGACCTTAACTAACAACCAGATATTAACTAACAACCAGACCTTAATTTACAACCAGACCTTAGCTAACAAATACGTATTAACTAACCACCCGACCTTAACTAACAAACACACATTAACTACCATATCTTAACTAACAAGCACGCATTAACTAACCATCGGACCTTAACTAACAAACACAAATTAACTAACCACCAGACCTTAGCTAACAAACACACATTAACTAACCACAGACCTTAACTAACAAATACACATTAACGAACCACCAAACCTTAACTAACCATCAGATTATAGCTGACAACCAAACCTTATTTAACATCCAGACCTACACTATTAGACCTTAACTAACAACCGGATGTTAACTACCAGGCAAAAAGTAACAAGCAGATCTTAACTAAGAACCAGGCGTTAATGACTTTGACCATCTTATCCTTGACCCAAAAGACCATTAACCTGAGGACTAAGAAGAAAGTTGAGAAAATCAAAGCTCTCGTTAATGGCCGGGTAAAAGCAATTATCTCCTGGAAGAGTAATTAGCGATTGGTGTTAGCAATTATCTCCTGGGAGGGTCGTTAGTGATGGGTGAACACCTTGGGAGGAATTGCTGTGAGAGTTGAAGTCGTTAGTCTCCGAAAAAGAGGGGTCAAGAACTGGAACTTCACAACCGTAGGTAAAACTCAAAGGGATTTGCACAAGCAGGTAGTCCAGTAGACAGTTGTACAAGCAGGTAGTTCAGTAGACAGTTGTGCCAGCAGGTAGTCCAGTAGACAGTTGTACAAGCAGGTAGTTCAGTAGACAGTTGTACAAGCAGGTGGTCCATTAGACAAAATTGCATAAACAGGTGGTCTAATAGACAGTTGCACAAGCAGGTGGTCTATTAGACAGCTGTACAACCAAGTAGTCCAGTAGACAGTTGTACAAGCAGGTGGTTCATTAGACAGTTGTATAAGCAGGTGGTCTAATAGTTGTACAAGCAGGTGGTCCATTAGACAGTTGTATAAACAGGTGGTCTAATAGACAGTTGTACAAGCAGGTGGTCAAGTAGACAGTTGTACAACCAAGTAGTCCAGTAGACAGTTGTACAAGCAGGTAGTCCAGTAGACAGTTGTACGAGCAAGTGGTCCATTAGACAGTTGTATATGCAGGTGGAAGGAGGAAGTCGTAGAAACATTTCTAGAGCAGGTGGTCGCTAGCAGTTCTACAAGCAGGTAATCAGTAGCAGTTCTACAAGCAGGTGATCAGCAGCAGTTCTACAAGCAGATGCTCACAAGCTATTAATTCTACAAGCAAATGTTACAGATACCTTTCTACTTAACGGGTAATCACAAGATATTCTACAAGCAGGTGGTTTCCGAGACTGTACTGCTAGCAGACATCCACAGGTTGTTCTACAAGAAGGTGGTCGAAGAAGCAATTCTATAAACAGGTAATAACAGCCATTTCTGCAATTAGATAGGTATTTTAGCAGTTCTACAAGCAGGTGGTCACTAAAACACTTCTATAAGCAGGTGGTTACAGACTGTTCTATAAGCAGGTGGTTACAGACTGTTCTATAAGCAGGTGGTTACAGACTGTTCTACAAGCAAGTTGAAGCAAACAATTATGGATATAAAAACAAGCAGATACAGAAGCGGGTAGACTTACCCACAAGCAGATACAGAAGCGGGTAGACTTACCCACAAGCAGATACAGAAGCGGGTAGACTTACCCACAAGCAGATACAGAAGCGGGTAGACTTACCCACAAGCAGATACAGAAGCGGGTAGACTTACCCACAAGCAGATACAGAAGCGGGTAGACCTACCCACAAGCAGATACAGAAGCGGGTAGATCTACCCACAAGCAGATACAGAAGCGGGTAGACCTATCCACAAGCAGATACAGAAGCGGGTAAAAATAGCCACAAGCACATACAGATGCGGGTAGACCTACCCACAAACAGATACAGAAACGGGTAGACCTATCCACAAGCAGATACAGAAGCGGGTAGACCTACCCATAAACAGATACAGAAACGGGTAGACCTACCCACAAGCAGATACAGAAGAGGGTAGACCTACCCACAAGCAGATACAGAAGCGGGTAGGCCTACTCACAAGCAGATACAGAAGCGGGTAGACCTACCCACAAGCAGATACAGAAGAGGGTAGGCCTACTCACAAGCAGATACAGAAGCGGGTAGACCTACCCACAAGCAGATACAAAAGCGGGTAGACCTACCCACAAGCAGATACAGAAGCGGGTAGCCCGACCCACAAGTAGGTACAGAAATGGAGAGACCTACCCACAGACAGATACAGAAGCTGGTAGACCTACTCACAAGCAGATACAGAAGCGGGTAGACTTACCCACAAGCAAATACAGAAGCGGGTAAACCTCCCCACAAGCGAATACAGAAGCGGGTAGACCTACCCACAAGCAGATACAGAATCGGGTAGTCCTACCCACAAGCAGGTACAGAAGCGGGTAGACCTACTCACGAGCAGATAAAGAATCGGATAAATCTACCCACAAGCAGATACAGGACCGGGTAGACCTACCAACAAGCAGATACAGAAGCGGGTAGACCTATCCAGAAGCAGGTACAGAAATGGAGAGACCTACCCACAAGTAGATACAGAAGCCGGTAGACCTATCCACAAGCAAATGCAGAAGCGGATAGACCTACCCACAAGCATATACAGAAGCGGGTAGACCTACCCAAAAGCAGGTACAGAAGCGGGTAGACCTACCCACAAGCAGATGCAGAAGCGGATAGACCTACCCACAAGCATATACAGAAGCGGGTAGACCTACCCACAAGCAGGTACAGAAGCGGGTAGACCTACCCACAAGTAGATACAGAAGCCGGTAGACCTATCCACAAGCAAATGCAGAAGCGGATAGACCTACCCACAAGTAGATACAGAAACCGTAGACCTATCCACAAGCAAATGCAGAAGTGGATAGACCTACCCACAAGCATATACAGAAGCGGGTATACCTACCCACAAGCAGGTACAGAAGCGGGTAGACCTACCCACAAGTAGATGCAGAAGCCGGTAGACCTATCCACAAGCAAATGCAGAAGCGGATAGACCTACCCACAAGTAGATACAGAAACCGTAGACCTATCCACAAGCAAATGCAGAAGTGGATAGACCTACCCACAAGCATATACAGAAGCGGGTAGACCTACCCACAAGCATATACAGAAGCGGGTAGACCTACCCTCAAGCAGGTACAGAAGCGGGTAGACCTACAGTGGTAAAGCCATGAACTGGTGAAACTACTAGCTGGTAGATACTTGAAGGTAGATACATGAAGGTAGATATTTGAAGGTAGATACTTGAAAGTAGATACTTGAAGGTAGATACTTGAAGGTAGATACTTGAAGGTAGATACTTGAAGGTAGATACGTGAAGGTAGATACGTGAAGGTAAATACTTGAAGGTAGATACTTGAAGGTAGATACTTGAAAGTAGATACTTGAAGGTAGATACATGAAGGTAGATACATGAAGGTAGAAAAATGAAGGTAGATACTTGAAAGTTGATACATGAAGGTAGATACTTGAAGGTAGATACATGAAGGTAGATACTTGAAGGTAGATACTTGAAGGTAGATACTTGAAGGTAGATACTTGAAGGTAGATACATGAAGGTAGATACTTGAAGGTAGATACTTGAAAGTAGAGACATACAGGTAGATATATGCAAGGAGATACCTTCAGGTAGATACACAATGCTTCAAGCACGCAAAATAAACCACTAACTGTCGTGGTTGAGCAGTCACGAGATTTTCTTGTTTAGACTCAGCTAGGCCTGGTGATGAACCTGGCTGCCGGGGCCTGACCCCTGGAACACCTTCCAGGTATGGCGGACTTCGCACCGAGTGTACCAGTATTGAAAATGACGGGAGATGAACTCCGACCATCTTTAGTGTTCAAACGCACAGGAAATATTACTAATATTCTGTTTTTTTTCCAAAGTTACCAGAGTTATTATAAACATTTCGCCTGTGTCCAGACTTTTGGGTCGCCCTGTGGAGCGCAGGGTGGAAGTAAGACCAGCAGTGTTGAAGTTACTGGTAGGAAGGTTACGATGATCATTGCCACCTTCTTATTAACATTGCTCGCCTTATTTTGGAATTACATTCTACTATATTACATGATAATTTTATTTGTTTACGACAACTGTCGCAGTGCTGTGGCTGCACAGTGCGACAGTTGTCAGAAGTGACGAGGCTCGCTCATCT